AAGTCCCAAGCCAAAATATAAATTGTTTTTTGATAAAGAAGAATTGATATACACATTTATTAAGGAAAATGGAACTTTTGGTCTTTCCTATTCATTGTAACTGTTTCCCAAAGAATTTGAACCATTGTGTCTAGAGGCATGAATTAAAATAAAATTATTATTTAATATTAAATTAATTATATATTAATATTTTATTTAGTTCAGAGATAAAATAAGGGCAGAATGGTAATTCAACTTTTAAGTTAGGAGCTTCCTACTTATAATAATATATGATAATAAATAATAATAAAAATAAATAATAATAATAATAATATATATGTGTGTGTGTGTGTGTGTGAAATATGATGATAGGCCGTTGAGTCTCCTTAAAAAAAACTAGAACCATACCGCTTTGAACAGAGTCTCCCTCTTTGACTAGTGCTACCTCCGGTGAAAGGAATGAAGATCTTGCATATAGGCAACCAACTGACGTATACAAACTGAAAAAATAAGCAACTAAAAAATATAAGACAGGCCTTTTGCCTTCTTGTTATAACATAAATTTGCAAATAAAAAATAAAAAAAATCAAGAGCTCCGTTTAACATGATTCTCAGGGTCTCACAAGAATGTATGAGAAGAACAGAGGATTCACACATAGTCGGGTCTAACATGATTTTTTTCATTCTCAGGGCTTGAATTCGAGATCTCTGGTTAAAGGCGAAAGGATCTCAATCATCTCACCACAACTCATGTTACTTTTTAGATACAGAATGATATCTAATACTATGTACTAGCCAATTTTAAATTCCTTTTTCATCCCAACTTGTCAAACTCCTACAAGTTGGAACCTTTATCAAAAGTAAGTATGCAATGAGATGGAAAACTATAAAAATGCCTGAAATCTCAAAGAATTGCAGTTCTGAACTGTTTTATTTCTCTTCTTTTCTGGTCATTGATTACAACAATTAGAGAAAACATTACATATTCATGCGTGGTGATGAAACTTACAAGTCAGTAAAAATTAAATGTATGATAATTAGTCAAGATGAATATTCTAAACAACAAATGAGATGAAGTAACAAGTTCAAAAACTGAGAACCTCACCATCTTCATCATTTGGGAAGGTAACACATTTGAAAACTTTGCATTTTGAGCATAATAAGTATCCACCTGTGTGGTAACATCAAGAAAGAACTTATTGGAATTATCTTCCATCGAAAAATAATAGAATGTGAGATGATTACAATTCCTAGAAATTAATGTAAGAAGAAAACACTTACAGCTCTACATGATGGACACCGACGATAAATTTTGTTAGTCTCAGATTTCACATTGGTCTTCTGACCTTTACAAAAATCACAGAGCAGCCACCCAGACATAAGATTCCTGCCTCAACCCTTCAATTACAGACAAATAAAGAGTTTGAAAGCAGCACACAATCTCAGTAAGCAAGAAACGCAGATGTTGGAGGCAAGAGGTAAAGATTCAGTATCTTAAAATGGGGAGCAGATGATATTAATAGAAAATGAAGTATCTCCACTTAGAACGAGGTGGGTTAAACCAATGCAGATCTAAACTATCTACGAAGGGTCATTGTAAAACGGAAAGGAAATACATGAGAAGACAAACTGATCAGGAGAGTAATGACATTTCAGAAATTTTAGACTATAATGAACCAGGTGATCTCATCATGTTAGTCGAGACACCAGCAACACTCATGTTAGCATGGTCCAAATAAAAACACATTACATTATTGTATCAAGATTAAGGAATGAAAGGGGCTGCGTGGAGTATTTTGGTGACGTCCTCCTATCACAGGTTATTAAGAAGAGAGACCAGAGATTTCTATCATCTATCAGTATGGGTTCCCAAGATCCGAGAAATGCATGTTCTTTTCACCTAGTTCGCAGCAAATTAAAGGGACCATCCTTACAGTTGAAGATTTGAAGAAAAGGAAGATAGCATATGTTGCCAGGCTGCAACACGATTGTGGTGGACAGTGTTGTATCTGTTTGGGGAACACTGAACAATGCTAGCTATAGGTTGGGATATGGTGTCTAGCTGGACTTCAGAAGAAGAAAAAGAAGACATAGAGCATAAAATGTGGTTCCTATGTGGGTACTTTAGAAGGAAAAGAAACATGAAAGTTTTTTGTATAGAGTAGGAAATGATTTGTAGGTCCCTTGTCGTTGTTCTTAGTTAACTTTTGGTGCACCCATAAGCTTTCTAACAATATAGCTGACTGGCTGTTCATTTTCAGAGAGTAATATTTTTGTACAGATGTTCTATTTCTTTACGACACTTGTATAAAAGATATGGTCTAATAGAAGCCTACTTCCTAATCAGAGTGAGGCATATGTGACCTAGTATGCATGTCATGTCATACCCACACCATAGTTAGAACATCAGGGTAAATTAATTGTGCAGTAAAAGGTAATTTGAATCGAAATTCAATGCGGAATGCAGAAGTTTCCTCAGTTTCTTCTGTCTCTGTATCTCCGTGGTACAACTTAGAAATAGAAATATTCAACTTAAAGAATAGCTAGGGCAAAGTGAAAACATGATCCAGTAAGATATAACAGATGGGAGTTACACATTCACCAATTATTTTGTACACGAGGCGAGGCAAGCAATGCACAAGGGGAGCTAGAGCCGAGTCAGTTACTGCTAATGAGAATGAAAGAATGCAACTTTGTGATGAAATCTTCTAGCAGTACATGAAAAGTCCATACAATTAGATAAAGTACTTTCTACAATTTTGTAGAGAACTGCAATTATTTAGTAAGCATAACATAATTGGAGTGTAAAACAGATTCTTCATGTATTTACTAGCAACAAAATCACATTTAGGATTAAATGGTGTCTGTTGTGGATGCGTTGGAAGCCCTTAAATTAAGTATTTAATTATATTTTAGTTGCTTTATTTATTATTCTAGAATAGGATTTATGTTTCATAGTTTCATAAGGATTATTAGGTTAAGTTATTGTTATTAGTTTGGAATTAGGATTTAGGTCTCTACTTTCATAAGAATTAGACTTCCTATTGATGTAATAAGACTCTTATTTAAAGGGGCTTTTGATGAATAAACCAGTAAGTCATATTTCAGCAAAAGATTAGAGTTCTCTCTTCCATTGAACCTTAGTTTGAAGAGCTGAAGAGATCAGAGTTCTCTTTTAATGAATTCTAAGGTTCCAGCCTCCCTTTAACAAGTTGATTTATATATTGCCCTGTGAATCGATCCTTCCCTAAAGATTCATAACAGTGTCCCTACTTTCAATACATTAGTGTCAAAATTGAGTCATCCATGAGAGACCTCTCTACGTCTAAACTACTCGCGAAAATCTTGGCAGTGGGATGAACCCAGCAAGTGAGGAAAGCAAGAAGACTCGTAGGGGAGAGGAAATATGATCAGCTCTATCTCCACCAATATAGGAGATTACGGAGCAGCAAAACATGGTAATGTGTATGCTTATTCATGATATCAGAGACCTCAACATGTAGGAGGCATAATCATTCAGAGGTGGATGACAGTGCAGGTGAGCTGCAGGCACATCAGAGTAGGATGAAGTATAATTGTCTAAGGAAATCCCATATCCAAAAAGACCGATTTTTTTATGAATCAACATTGCACTCGAGGCGCCGTGCCCCGAGGCCCCCGTCCCCCGGAACCTCCAGGCACCGTGCCCCGAGGCCCCCGGAACCTCCAGGCACCGTGCCCCGAGGCCCCCGGAACCTCCAGGCACCGTGCCCCGAGGCCCCCGGAACCTCCAGGCACCGTGCCCCGAGGCCCCCGGAACCTCCAGGCACCGTGCCCCGAGGCCCCCGGAACCTCCAGGCACCGTGCCCCGAGGCCCCCGGAACCTCCAGGCACCGTGCCCCGAGGCCCCCGGAACCTCCAGGCACCGTGCCCCGAGGCCCCCGGAACCTCCAGGCACCGTGCCCCGAGGCCCCCGGAACCTCCAGGCACCGTGCCCCGAGGCCCCCGGAACCTCCAGGCACCGTGCCCCGAGGCCCCCGGAACCTCCAGGCACCGTGCCCCGAGGCCCCCGGAACCTCCAGGCACCGTGCCCCGAGGCCCCCGGAACCTCCAGGCACCGTGCCCCGAGGCCCCCGGAACCTCCAGGCACCGTGCCCCGAGGCCCCCGGAACCTCCAGGCACCGTGCCCCGAGGCCCCCGGAACCTCCAGGCACCGTGCCCCGAGGCCCCCGGAACCTCCAGGCACCGTGCCCCGAGGCCCCCGGAACCTCCAGGCACCGTGCCCCGAGGCCCCCGGAACCTCCAGGCACCGTGCCCCGAGGCCCCCGGAACCTCCAGGCACCGTGCCCCGAGGCCCCCGGAACCTCCAGGCACCGTGCCCCGAGGCCCCCGGAACCTCCAGGCACCGTGCCCCGAGGCCCCCGGAACCTCCAGGCACCGTGCCCCGAGGCCCCCGGAACCTCCAGGCACCGTGCCCCGAGGCCCCCGGAACCTCCAGGCACCGTGCCCCGAGGCCCCCGGAACCTCCAGGCACCGTGCCCCGAGGCCCCCGGAACCTCCAGGCACCGTGCCCCGAGGCCCCCGGAACCTCCAGGCACCGTGCCCCGAGGCCCCCGGAACCTCCAGGCACCGTGCCCCGAGGCCCCCGGAACCTCCAGGCACCGTGCCCCGAGGCCCCCGGAACCTCCAGGCACCGTGCCCCGAGGCCCCCGGAACCTCCAGGCACCGTGCCCCGAGGCCCCCGGAACCTCCAGGCACCGTGCCCCGAGGCCCCCGGAACCTCCAGGCACCGTGCCCCGAGGCCCCCGGAACCTCCAGGCACCGTGCCCCGAGGCCCCCGGAACCTCCAGGCACCGTGCCCCGAGGCCCCCGGAACCTCCAGGCACCGTGCCCCGAGGCCCCCGGAACCTCCAGGCACCGTGCCCCGAGGCCCCCGGAACCTCCAGGCACCGTGCCCCGAGGCCCCCGGAACCTCCAGGCACCGTGCCCCGAGGCCCCCGGAACCTCCAGGCACCGTGCCCCGAGGCCCCCGGAACCTCCAGGCACCGTGCCCCGAGGCCCCCGGAACCTCCAGGCACCGTGCCCCGAGGCCCCCGGAACCTCCAGGCACCGTGCCCCGAGGCCCCCGGAACCTCCAGGCACCGTGCCCCGAGGCCCCCGGAACCTCCAGGCACCGTGCCCCGAGGCCCCCGGAACCTCCAGGCACCGTGCCCCGAGGCCCCCGGAACCTCCAGGCACCGTGCCCCGAGGCCCCCGGAACCTCCAGGCACCGTGCCCCGAGGCCCCCGGAACCTCCAGGCACCGTGCCCCGAGGCCCCCGGAACCTCCAGGCACCGTGCCCCGAGGCCCCCGGAACCTCCAGGCACCGTGCCCCGAGGCCCCCGGAACCTCCAGGCACCGTGCCCCGAGGCCCCCGGAACCTCCAGGCACCGTGCCCCGAGGCCCCCGGAACCTCCAGGCACCGTGCCCCGAGGCCCCCGGAACCTCCAGGCACCGTGCCCCGAGGCCCCCGGAACCTCCAGGCACCGTGCCCCGAGGCCCCCGGAACCTCCAGGCACCGTGCCCCGAGGCCCCCGGAACCTCCAGGCACCGTGCCCCGAGGCCCCCGGAACCTCCAGGCACCGTGCCCCGAGGCCCCCGGAACCTCCAGGCACCGTGCCCCGAGGCCCCCGGAACCTCCAGGCACCGTGCCCCGAGGCCCCCGGAACCTCCAGGCACCGTGCCCCGAGGCCCCCGGAACCTCCAGGCACCGTGCCCCGAGGCCCCCGGAACCTCCAGGCACCGTGCCCCGAGGCCCCCGGAACCTCCAGGCACCGTGCCCCGAGGCCCCCGGAACCTCCAGGCACCGTGCCCCGAGGCCCCCGGAACCTCCAGGCACCGTGCCCCGAGGCCCCCGGAACCTCCAGGCACCGTGCCCCGAGGCCCCCGGAACCTCCAGGCACCGTGCCCCGAGGCCCCCGGAACCTCCAGGCACCGTGCCCCGAGGCCCCCGGAACCTCCAGGCACCGTGCCCCGAGGCCCCCGGAACCTCCAGGCACCGTGCCCCGAGGCCCCCGGAACCTCCAGGCACCGTGCCCCGAGGCCCCCGGAACCTCCAGGCACCGTGCCCCGAGGCCCCCGGAACCTCCAGGCACCGTGCCCCGAGGCCCCCGGAACCTCCAGGCACCGTGCCCCGAGGCCCCCGGAACCTCCAGGCACCGTGCCCCGAGGCCCCCGGAACCTCCAGGCACCGTGCCCCGAGGCCCCCGGAACCTCCAGGCACCGTGCCCCGAGGCCCCCGGAACCTCCAGGCACCGTGCCCCGAGGCCCCCGGAACCTCCAGGCACCGTGCCCCGAGGCCCCCGGAACCTCCAGGCACCGTGCCCCGAGGCCCCCGGAACCTCCAGGCACCGTGCCCCGAGGCCCCCGGAACCTCCAGGCACCGTGCCCCGAGGCCCCCGGAACCTCCAGGCACCGTGCCCCGAGGCCCCCGGAACCTCCAGGCACCGTGCCCCGAGGCCCCCGGAACCTCCAGGCACCGTGCCCCGAGGCCCCCGGAACCTCCAGGCACCGTGCCCCGAGGCCCCCGGAACCTCCAGGCACCGTGCCCCGAGGCCCCCGGAACCTCCAGGCACCGTGCCCCGAGGCCCCCGGAACCTCCAGGCACCGTGCCCCGAGGCCCCCGGAACCTCCAGGCACCGTGCCCCGAGGCCCCCGGAACCTCCAGGCACCGTGCCCCGAGGCCCCCGGAACCTCCAGGCACCGTGCCCCGAGGCCCCCGGAACCTCCAGGCACCGTGCCCCGAGGCCCCCGGAACCTCCAGGCACCGTGCCCCGAGGCCCCCGGAACCTCCAGGCACCGTGCCCCGAGGCCCCCGGAACCTCCAGGCACCGTGCCCCGAGGCCCCCGGAACCTCCAGGCACCGTGCCCCGAGGCCCCCGGAACCTCCAGGCACCGTGCCCCGAGGCCCCCGGAACCTCCAGGCACCGTGCCCCGAGGCCCCCGGAACCTCCAGGCACCGTGCCCCGAGGCCCCCGGAACCTCCAGGCACCGTGCCCCGAGGCCCCCGGAACCTCCAGGCACCGTGCCCCGAGGCCCCCGGAACCTCCAGGCACCGTGCCCCGAGGCCCCCGGAACCTCCAGGCACCGTGCCCCGAGGCCCCCGGAACCTCCAGGCACCGTGCCCCGAGGCCCCCGGAACCTCCAGGCACCGTGCCCCGAGGCCCCCGGAACCTCCAGGCACCGTGCCCCGAGGCCCCCGGAACCTCCAGGCACCGTGCCCCGAGGCCCCCGGAACCTCCAGGCACCGTGCCCCGAGGCCCCCGGAACCTCCAGGCACCGTGCCCCGAGGCCCCCGGAACCTCCAGGCACCGTGCCCCGAGGCCCCCGGAACCTCCAGGCACCGTGCCCCGAGGCCCCCGGAACCTCCAGGCACCGTGCCCCGAGGCCCCCGGAACCTCCAGGCACCGTGCCCCGAGGCCCCCGGAACCTCCAGGCACCGTGCCCCGAGGCCCCCGGAACCTCCAGGCACCGTGCCCCGAGGCCCCCGGAACCTCCAGGCACCGTGCCCCGAGGCCCCCGGAACCTCCAGGCACCGTGCCCCGAGGCCCCCGGAACCTCCAGGCACCGTGCCCCGAGGCCCCCGGAACCTCCAGGCACCGTGCCCCGAGGCCCCCGGAACCTCCAGGCACCGTGCCCCGAGGCCCCCGGAACCTCCAGGCACCGTGCCCCGAGGCCCCCGGAACCTCCAGGCACCGTGCCCCGAGGCCCCCGGAACCTCCAGGCACCGTGCCCCGAGGCCCCCGGAACCTCCAGGCACCGTGCCCCGAGGCCCCCGGAACCTCCAGGCACCGTGCCCCGAGGCCCCCGGAACCTCCAGGCACCGTGCCCCGAGGCCCCCGGAACCTCCAGGCACCGTGCCCCGAGGCCCCCGGAACCTCCAGGCACCGTGCCCCGAGGCCCCCGGAACCTCCAGGCACCGTGCCCCGAGGCCCCCGGAACCTCCAGGCACCGTGCCCCGAGGCCCCCGGAACCTCCAGGCACCGTGCCCCGAGGCCCCCGGAACCTCCAGGCACCGTGCCCCGAGGCCCCCGGAACCTCCAGGCACCGTGCCCCGAGGCCCCCGGAACCTCCAGGCACCGTGCCCCGAGGCCCCCGGAACCTCCAGGCACCGTGCCCCGAGGCCCCCGGAACCTCCAGGCACCGTGCCCCGAGGCCCCCGGAACCTCCAGGCACCGTGCCCCGAGGCCCCCGGAACCTCCAGGCACCGTGCCCCGAGGCCCCCGGAACCTCCAGGCACCGTGCCCCGAGGCCCCCGGAACCTCCAGGCACCGTGCCCCGAGGCCCCCGGAACCTCCAGGCACCGTGCCCCGAGGCCCCCGGAACCTCCAGGCACCGTGCCCCGAGGCCCCCGGAACCTCCAGGCACCGTGCCCCGAGGCCCCCGGAACCTCCAGGCACCGTGCCCCGAGGCCCCCGGAACCTCCAGGCACCGTGCCCCGAGGCCCCCGGAACCTCCAGGCACCGTGCAGAGTTCACATGCAAAGTAAACAACATGGATTAGCATGCTTTTTCTTCTATATTCGGAGGATAAATTGATAAATTAGTGAAATTATGACCAGAAATGTAGACTTTCATAATTGAACCAAACATAAATTTTCGTTCAACTTCCAAATAAAATGAGACAGTGAGATGAGCTTGACTCAAAATATGCTATATCAACTAATAAATTAATGCCTAACAATGCTTGTTTAACAGGTTGTATATCAACCTGTTATATGCAAAAGGCAATATTCAACTATAAAATGCTAATGAATATCATGTGATTTTTTCCCACTATAGTCAAATTAAAACATTACCCAAAATGTTGAAACCTTTTCAGTTTTTAATCCTTTAGTTTTTACTTATTTCTCGTTTCTTGCACTTGCTTTCACTTTGATAATTTTGTATATATAGCAGCAATGTGGTGGCAGAATATGAGTCAATTCTATATTAATAAAAAAAACAGATTTTTAGCCTCTGCATATGTAATATTTGGCATCAAAATTGCAAATGCAAATGCTATATCAAGAACAAATTTAAACAAATAATATAAAAAATCATAGACAACCATAAATAATCTCAAGATGAAAATCTATTGTGTAGAGGCTCTGCAAACAGAGATTTTGGAGACGACTCCTTATTACACCACACATTCTCTTTGGTCATTGAAAAATGAACTACACTAAGTAGATTCGACACACACCCAATGACATTTTTGAAGAGTCCAAGCAACATAAGTTATTCTTTCCTAATTCCTCCATTGATGAGATTAACTCTATGTTATTGTCATGTACTTTTTCTCTCTCTAACTCTAAGGATTAACCTTTCCACTAACATAACAAATAAAGAAAGAAAAGCAGGGAAGAGTAACCTTTGTCCTAGAAGATGGGGCATTTTGTAATGCTTTGCTCAAGATGTCTTCGTGTATATTTCTGATTAAGGAAATGATAAGGAGCAGTTGAACATCAAAATGACCATAAGCTGAAATATAAAATTACACGTAAAATCGAGCAAGAGCCAACATCAAACAGATGAGGAAAGTTCAAAACAAAGCACAAAAGATAAGTTAATGACATAGGAAAACACCAAGAAAAGGTTGATGAAGTTTAAAAAGTCTCACTGAAAGATACACGGAGACAGAATTGTAAATCTGGAAATCCTAATCAAAGCTCTAATGATAATGAGTGTGTGTTTACGTAGTCAAAATGTGTTCAGTACCATCGCTACATGGCCTATGTAGTGAAAAAAATATACTTGCAAGATCAAATAAGCTACTACAATATTTTGTTGATAACGTAACAGTGTTTTGCATTCTTCAACCAGATTGAGGTTATATATACCTCATTCTAAGTTGTCTGAAGTGTAGTTTTCTATATCTATTAATAACATAATTTACTACTACTGAAACATAATTAGGAATCAATTGAGGACGCAAAGCAAATAGAGAGCTGAGAAGTTGAAACTTGAAATGAAGAACAGAAATTTAAGTAGCCAGGGAACCTTTTTTCTCATGGCCACCTGATGCTATTACTGAAGACAAAGATTCTATTTGTTTGGGTTGTTTCTAACAGGAACTTTTTGGATGGAAAGGAGTGCAACTAAATACTTCAGAAGACTATCGTCCTCAGTTCGATAACCAGACAGAGGTACTAAGCAGATGCGTACAAACTTAGTTAAGGTGCTACTGTAATGAGTACGCTTCTAACTGATACCTATGCTTGCTTATGTCCAAGTATTGGTATAATACTTGTCATCATTCAGCTATCCAGACACACTCTATGAAACCCTATATGGTAAATTTACCACTCTCATTGCACCTTCCTTATGTGCCTGGTGAATCAGCTTCAACAACTTCAATGTGTCCGAGAAGCTTATGTATTGGTTTAAAATTCCAGTCGGTATGTTTAGCGTTTACAGAGTTTTTGGTGTTAATCCACCAAAATTTGATTGTTGATCTAGTAAGCCTCACTCAACAACATTAAGCAAATGAAGAGAACTCCAAATCAAAGTAAAAGAGAACTCACAGATGGCAAATGCAAAACTATGAGGAAGTGTATATCAAAAACAAAAGCACGAGCAGAAGGCCTACAACAGAGACAACAAAATCCCAACACCTTAATCAAATGGATAGAGGTCAGAGCACACAGGATATTAAGAAGCTCTACTCCCTGTTAGAGATTTGAGTAAATGCCCATTTAGAAGCTCTAATTAACAAGGAAAGAAACAAAAATAGATATACCATCTAATCCATCTAACATCAGATGCTGCTTACTTTTTGAGGCAATGCACTAAGCCCAAAGTCAGAAACTTGTAAAATGATCCAAATACGTACAAGGCACAAATATAAAAACCACGGCCATGTAATGCTTGGCTTAGTCAGGCTCAACGCGAGGGACTGCACCTTGTGGTGCGAGGCTGGGGTCTGGCATTGGGATTTGTCCAGCAAGCCCCTGTCCCCCTGAGCTACATGTTCTGTCCTCCCCTTTCCCAACTTGGCACATACATCTTAAATTCTAGATATTTCCTTGATATATAATGTAAAATTGATGAAACGATTCATGAGTCTTGTATTACTAAGCTAGTTACAAAATGATCTTGTAGATATAGCAAAATATATTGTGGACGAAATCTTGACTCTAGAAGGTAATAATAAAATAGATAGACTTTGGTGAATGGTTGAGACATAAAGATTTTAGTGTCAAATCAACATGGAGATAATGACACATTGAACATGGGAATGATATGTATAGATTCTATATTTGGATAACTGATCATGCCATTCAAATATCTTTCTCTAAGTGAAGAGCATGAAAATTTAAGATTTCAATTGACGATAATGTATGTGAAACCACCATTTTGGTTTGACTGAAACAAGAACTGAAACAGTAACTTTACTATTATATTTTAATGTGGCAAAACTTTTTATGACAATAATGGATGTATAAACCTTATTTCATGTAGTTATAGGTGATTGGTAAGCTAAGAAAGGCCAATTAGAAGGAAATTTATGTGGTGAAACCATAGTTTGTAGGCTTTTAACACTTATTATAGTTGAAATATAAGGTTTTACTTATGATCCACTAGAAAATTTAGGCTCAGAGCTGCTGTATTAGGTGTAACTACAATCCCATTGGGCATTCCTATTCTAGTTCTACTATCTATCTTTAATAACAAATCGATTCCCTGTTTGCAGTTAGAGCTCCTCAAATACATATCGAGTATAGGGATAGCATAACTTGCTTTTTCTTCTGGATACATAATAGGAGAAGATGAATTTGGACCTTAGATACACGAGAAAATTAAATCAACCTAGAGATCAAAAATAATTAAACAAGGTTGTAAAGGATCCAAAGTCATGGTGATACACAAAATATTAGTTCAACAGAAATTTAAAAAAAAAACACAAACAAGGAGAGAAAGAGAAGTGACTGAGATTGCGAACAGTGACATTGACAGTGTATCCACGTTGTAGCAACAACTTGACCAGCCATGAAGCTATGAAACCAGATGCCCCTGTTACACATACTACCTTTCCTTCTCCACTATTCTTACGGTCCATTCCCAGATGTTATTCGAAAACAATACAGAAATGTAATTCTATTTGGCAATAAGGCATATATATACGAGTATTTATGGTCTTGGACTTGGAAGTATTCACCAAGGCATCACTTTATTCATTGATGCTGTTTGTTTCATCTCAATTGAATTCACTAAAATTCATCAATATACAGGAAGAATCTTATGTTTCATTTCTAATTCTAAGCAGTAACAGGAGAGAGAGCTAACACCCATGACTGATATACCAAATTCCCCATTCCTACGAGTTGATTTCGAGGTTACATATAAATTATTCAATCAATCAACTAAACCCCCAACCCTAAGACAGACGAAAATGGGAAAAATTACCTGAATACTAGACGAAAATGGATTCAAGAAGCAAAACAATGTCTCTACTCATTTGCCAATTTTATTCTCGCCGCCATCATCTTCATCGCCTAATTTCAGTGCTACTGTGGAAGAGAAGAGATAACAGACTTGTATGTGTAACCTTCGTTTCGTTTGGGATGAAAACAAAATATCAAAATAAGGCGGTCTTTTTGTGGACATTAGACAAAAGAGCCGTTAATTGTATTGACACGTGGCATTAGATTTCAAATTGCAAGTTGTGTTAAATAAAATAGTTAAGTCAAACTTCTCATATGGTGATGTTTAAGTCACATAAAAAATGCTATTTATCTTGCATTATTTTGTTGTGTTAAAATCATTATAGTTTAGCAAGGCAAATGCCTTTTATATTTGTTTGATTTGTTTTAACGTGGTACACATTTTTGTATCCCTCCCTCGTGAAAAATTCTTTTTATTCACACTCGATAAGTAGGATATTAGATTGAATCGTTTTATCCCCGCTTTTCTCTCACACCAAACAAGATCATACATAACACAAAGGAGGAAAATAAACTCAGTCTATTTTCTCCCTCTCTATTAATAGCGATCATGATACGCTAGTTTTTGCTAATTCATTTACATATGTTTATGTTAAATAATTATAAATATAATTCATGTGCGACTTCATTTATGGCCTTGTTTTGATTATTTTTTAAGTTTGACATGAATCCATTGATTAAAGTTTCAAAAAACTGAAGTAGGATGAAGTTCAAAAGCTCATGAAAAGTATACAATCATCACACCTGGTGGCTTATGAGGAAAATGCTTGAGATATGTGTATTTATGTGAAAATAATTAAATTAATAAAGTGGTGGAAATATATGCAATAAAGTGAAGTTCTTGTGTAATGATAGAAAACGTATGCTATTTACTAGTTTAGTTAATGCTATTAAGGGAGAAAACAAAGTATTGAAAATCACTAATAATGAATAAAATGCATTCCTCAAATGCGATTAAAGAACAATTTGAAAATTTTAAAGATATACCATTCAACATAAAATTTTGAGTCACATATCTCAATATATAATATTATATAACATTATATACTATTTGAATATATAACAAGTGTATAATATCTCTATATATCGATTAAAAAAATGTAAAATTATGAATTCGACGAACTTTTTATGTAAAAATATATTTAAACTACACAAAATCCCACAAAAGCTTACAACAACAATAATTCTACACTATTTTTCCATAAATTTTAGTTAGTATAATCATTTTCAATTATACATTTATTATATGTTTTGTAAACTAAAACTTGATTGTTCTTATATCCATTAAAGTTTCGAAAGACTATGGTAGGATGAAGTTCAAAAGCTCATGAAAAGTATACAATGAGCATACATGGTGGCTTATGAGGAAAATGCTTAAGACTTTATCGCTTTATCACGCAAAAATTTTAACGTATTTGTACTTTTTTATGTTTGACTTGAACAGAACATCGTCTATTTTTCTTGGACTCTTCAAAATTGTTAACATGTGTGTTGAATTTTTCAAAAGTCGTACATTTTTAGAGAATTCAACATGAGTTTTTTGGTCGAACTTTTTGTGGGCATCCGTTACGACCTATTTAATGGCGTGTGTTGGTTCGAAGGGGCATAGGTCATCATTTTCAAGTTCAAACGAGGTTCGGAATGGGAAATAGGAATTTTTTCATTTTTCGTGTGTTATAGTTTAGGGATTATGGGTGATATGTGCATTCGGCGGTTTTTTTGATAATTTTTTTTGTGGGAGTTCGTGACGACCTGTTTAATGGCACGTTTTAGTTCAAAGCCACCTAATTCAATATGTACCAAAAGATATGCTAGTTTATTTATTTATTTTGCCTTCAAGCAAGGTAAACATTGATTACATTATTTATTAGGCAGTTTTTTGGCTAACATTATTGTGGGCGTCCGTGACAACCTATTTAATGGTGTGTTGGTTTAGTAAGACAAACATCATCCCCTCTCACCCTCAATTGGTGATAACCTGAACGAAGATCGATGTTAGAGAAATAACTAGCCCCTTGAAGTTTGTCAAACAAGTCATCAATTCTTGGAAGAGGATAATTGTTCTTAATGGTCACCTTATTCAACTGACGATAATCAATGCACATACAAAGAGATCCATCTTTCTTCCTAACAAACAAAACGGGAGCACCTATGGAGAGATACTCGGTCGGATGAAACCCTTATCCAACAAAGCCTTTAGTTTCTTTTTCAACTGTTTTAACTTCGCCGGAGCCATTCTATAAGGAGGGATGGAAATAGGTTGCGTATTCAGAAGAAGATCAATACCAAAATCTATTTCTCGCTCGGGAGGAACATCGGGGAAAACTTTCAAAAATTCATTAACCACGGGAACCGACTTAAGAGAAGGGGTTTTGGAATCTACATCCCTCACCCTAACAAGATGGTAAAAGCAACCTTTCGAAATCATCCTTCTAGCTGTAAGGTAAGACACAAATTGGCCTCTAGGCATAGAATTTCCCCCCTTCCACTCTAGGATAGGCTCATTCAGGAATTGGAATCTCACCACTCGAGTTCTACAATCAATAGAGGCATAACATGCATGCAACCAATCCATACCAAGAATCACATCAAAGTCTAACATGTCAAGTTCTACCAAGTCAATAAGAGTAACTCTATGGGACAAGGAAACGGGACACCTTCAATAAACCCTCTTAGCCACCATAGACTCACCAATAGGAGTAGAGACCAAAAAAGGTTCTAATAATATATCGGGGAGCATATCAAACTTTATGGCCACATAAGGTGTCACAAAGGACAAAGTAGCACCGGGATCTAACAAGGCATACACATCAAGAAGAAAGAATTTTAACATACCGGTGACTACGTTCGAAGAACTCTCTTGGTCACCTCGGGATTGGAGAGCATAGAAGCGGTCTTGCTTCGAGGCGGGGCGGGTTGCAGGTATATGTGATTTTATATGAGTTCAAACTTAATTTAAACTTTTTATATGTTATAAGTGTGATAAAGCACTATTTATTAAAATAATTTCTTTAAAACTACTAAAATATTCAAGATAGTAATGAAAATGGTTCAATAAAAAATAATACAATTTCTTACATATTTCCCAGTTGACCTCTAAAAAATAATTTTTTAAGTCACTACCTATTAAATTAATACAACTTAGTGAAAAAATGAATTTATTTTTATGAATTATATTTTTTTGTATCAAATTTAACTAGAAAAAAAAATATTTTAAAAAATTATGCGGGGCAGGTTGAAAATGAAAAAAAATGTTATGTAGGGCGGCGTGGGGCGAGGCAGATTAAGAATTTTGCGGGTTAAGCTCACCCCGCCCCACCCTCACCCCGCACCGCCCCATTGCCATCCATGTTAGCCCATGAATATGGCGCCTTGGAGCACCCAAAAATATTTCTGAAAAAACTTTATGGACCTATGTAATGAGTTGGGGAATCACTGCGTATAGTCCCATCATTTTTAAGGCATATTTTTGCATTTACGAGCTAACTTGACGTGGAATCGATCATTTTATTTTATTTATTTATTTGAGAAAAATCGCCAAAATCCCCCCTAATCTATATCAAGATTTCCAACTACACAATTTAAACCTATCACCCCTGAACTGTTTAAAACTGAAATAATTACACCCTTAAAAAGTCACAACCACATTTATGTTGACCTGTGAATTTCACGCGTTTGGCTCGGGAAAATTTGATTAATTTTTTTAATTATTTTTTTTATAATTCTTTCCACTTTCTCCTATAGTCTCCCAATTCCTTCAAATCCCTGAAATAACTTCTTCTCCCAATTCCTTCAAAATCCTAAAGTAACTTCACCATTACTTTAAACACCAAAGTCTACCGAAATTGGATTGTGAGAAACAAAGATGAATAGTTATAGCGGAGTTCGTCAAGCAATATTCGAGTTTTGCTTGTCAAAGAACCTAAAAAAAAACTAAAAAGATTTGTGAATATCGCTACTTCGTCAAGGTTTTGCTTGTTTCGCCAGAGCTTGCTGGTCGGAGAAGTGCAGTCGCAAGATTTTGTTGTTGTAGTCATCAACCTCACTGTGAGTACTAAGGTAGATCTTCATAGTGACTATCTCGAAACAAGAGAGAGAATAGAGGAGAGTCTGAGGGGAGAAGGGGTTTTTGCTAGTGGTTTGGGTTTCGACAGAGGCGTCGATAATGGTGGCTATTGGTGTAGCATTTCGCCGGCTAGTCGCACCAGAGAGAGCGGGGACTTGAAAAACAAACTAAAAAAGTGAGAGGGAGGAAAGAGGGAGGACGAACAAAGGCAGTAACGATGCCATTAATGGGGGTCAACTAAGACGAGTACTATCCTCTCGTAGATGATTGATTGAAATTTGAGATTGATAATTAAAAGATCTATAAAATAAATTAACAAAAAAACATTATCATTTAGGAGTTCAATTGAATTTGATGTAAACCCAGTTTGATTGTTTTTTTTCAAATCTGATCCAAATCCCTTTTTTGGGTGATATACATATCATTTTATCTTTAATTGATTTCTAAAAAAAATTTACATGAGAATTTAAAAGTTTGTTTTCAAATCAACAATGGTGAATCCGGTGAAGATGGTGGTGACTAAGACGACTTAGAGATGGTGAATGGTGGAGAAATTTGGTCATTGTTGTTATGGAGAAGAAAGACGATAAATAAGGAAAAAAATATATTTGAAATACCCTCACTTTGCAAGCTAAGCATTCAGGGAGGTAATAATTTTAGTTTTAAACACTTCAGGGGTGATAGGACTCTCGTGAAGTTAAAGTGTACAGTTGAAAATCTGAATATAGATTGGGAGGGGCGAGGGAATTTTTTTCTATTCATTTTAGTAATGAAAACATTTTATTGAGCTATATGCTTACAAAATTAGATGATCTGATTCAAAGTAGAGAGTCATTGCTACATTATAGAGAAATGTCTTAATCTTATAATTAGGTGCCACAACCTAATTCAGGTTAATTGCAAAAATAGAGTTTGAAATTGAAAAAATTCCACCGTTATGCATTCTATAGTAAGAAATAGTGTCTCGATAAATTTCATGAAGTTTGAGGGCCAATAAAAGCAATTATTCATTTTTTTATTCGATATCCAATAATCATATTGA